GATATTGGAATTATGCATCCAGAACAAGTGCCAACAGGATCTCTGTACGCATAGAATATTTATTCTCGTTACTACCAACATTCTTGAATATTTATCTTGTAATGTATGACTGTATTGAAATAAAAGGCATGCAGGTCAAGTAGGATATGTAATATGCAATATGAAAGCAACAGCAGAAGCACATATTGGATATACATTTTACCATGTCAAAAGTCCTGTCGATCCTTTACCAGGGTTTGAACCTGCAAAGCCGATGGTAATTATTGGATTTTGTACAACAATTATAGTATACAATTACAACCCAATTTTTTTTTGATAAGCAGGTATTCGCAGGTATATTCCCCATAGATACTAATGAATTCAATAAGCTAGATGAATCTATTGCAAAATTAACATTGAACGATGCTAGTGTGTCGGTTCAGAAAGAGACTAGGTATATTTATGTATATTTAAATCGTATTTTTATTAAAACATCTGATCATTTCAGTTATTATCATAAATTAGTACGGCATTGGGACAAGGCTGGCGCATTGGATTTTTAGGAACATTACATATGGATGTTTTTCAACAAAGACTAGAGGAAGTAGGTGCAAAATCATCTTTTATCCATTCTGATGTATTTTATGACTAATGCTAATAGGTATGCATGAACATTTGTATACGCTAGGAATATGATGCTAATGTTATCATCACTCAACCAACTGTACCTTATAAAAGTTTGCAAAAGATTTTTTTGTTCATTTGTCAGCTTTGTTTTATAGATACATCGGAAATAAAGAAATTTAAGGTTAAATTTAATTTCATCGATTAGTAATTTATCGAGATGGTACATCAAAATTAATCCGCAATCCATCGGAGTTTCCTGAACCAAATGAAATGTCACATAAAATAATTGAATTACAAGAACCAATGGTTATGGTGACAGTTATTGCTCCGGAGGTAATTTATATTTTATTATTATATCATACTATGTTATATTTACGCTTTTCTGAATATCTCATATCAATAAATTATTTTATCTAGGAATATATAGGTTCAATAATGGATCTTTGTGGTGTATGCATTTCAACAAAAATTAATTTATTTTAGAGTAATACTGGTTTTTGTATATTAATAAAAGAAAAATAATGATAATTTAAAATAATTGCTTCATATTAATTTTATAAACATCAGTCTCGTAGGGGCGAACAGTTAGAATATAATTATTTAGACGAGTCACGAGTTATTATGAGATATTCTATGCCATTAGCTGAAATTGTAACAGATTTTCATGATGATTTGAAATCACGATCGAGTGGTTATGCGAGGTATTTCAGTTTTGTTTGAATTGGAAATTCATAAAATTATAAAAGTTATATTAATTATTTTAATCACAGTTTTGATTATGAAGATATGGGATATCAACCGTCTGATATTGTGAAGGTTAGTTAGTATTACTTATTTTAAAGTTTATAGCATAATATTGATATTTGGCTATCATTTTGTATAAAAAAAATAGATGAATGTCCTGATAAACAAAAAGCCAGTAGACGCACTTGCAGCTATTTTACACCGCTCTCAAGTATCATTTGTTGGAAGAGAATGGGCCAAGAAGTTGAGTGAAGTTATACCCAAGTAAATTTCTTTAAAAAAATTCAAATTATAGATCTGAAGGCAAAATAAAGTAAACTAAAATTATTTTTTGAAAAATTTTCATCAAAAGACAATTATACGAAGTGGTAATTCAAATAGCCATCGGTGGGAAAGTCGTGGCTAGAGAAACGTTAGTAACTTAAGTTATTTAGTGTTTTAGAACTATTTTAAAAAAAAATAAACAATAAAAAAAAAAAAAAATAGGATAGCAGCAATGCGAAAAAATGTAACTGCTAAATGTGTAAGTATGATATTATTTCACAATGCTTGCTGCCTGAATATTAAAATTAAATAATCTTAGACAATCGAATAAAAATATAGTATGGAGGAGATGTAACAAGGAAAATGAAACTACTTGAGAAACAAAAAGAAGGGAAAAAGAAAATGAAGATGATTGGTATGTATAATAGTTTAACACAAAATGTATCTGTTTACTATATAATATAATTTCTATCTTTTAATGTTTTATTTCAAAAAAGGAAATATTGAATTACCACAAAAGGCATTTTATGATTTCTTATCTAAAAGATCTGGAACATCCAAACTAAAAAATAAATGAGTTTTATTGTGAATTCTGACTATGACAAAAATTTTGAAACGAATAAATATATAATAGAATTGGAATTATTTAATACGTTTGTGTTTTATGTACTCTGGTTTTTTGGTGATAACTTATTGCAGTAAATTATTCAAAATTTATCTAAAATTTAAGCAATTAAGGTTTTTTAGTATTGTATTCGATCAGTGCAAGTGGATTCACACCATAGGTGGGATCGAGAATTTCGTTTTTGCATATGTCTCTTTACAATTTATTTGGAGAAATATATAATCTTTAATAAAGTATTCAAAGTGATTGTTACTTTTCACATTTGAGTTTTCAGTTATTTTAGTATTTGAGCATTTGAATTGGTTTCAGTTTTTAATTAACCCAGTATCGATCCCGATGCACCGCTATAATAAGATAATAGTCTCTGTGTGAAATAAAAAGATATCCTTCGATTGACATCTTAGATAAAAAAGTTTTTGGAATAAGATAATAATTTTATTAGCTTTCATATATATTTGTATTATCAATATGTTCACATAAAATTCTGTAACCACATAAGTTTTTTAAGATCCGAATTTAACTTAAGTGGATCCCGAATCTACAATATTCTATATCCACTTTCAAACATATATATATATATTATTATAAGCATGATCTATTACTTATCGTATTTGCATAAGCAGCTATTTAATTTCAGCTATTTTTTTAAACCGCCTTTTAACTAGATTCCATAAACTTTTTTCAGAAGTTTTCATTCTCGGGTCATCGATATTTGGCCCAGTAAAGTAGAACGCAAGTGATCCCGCCAAGATTGAGAGTGTAATGTCACCACGTCTTATGAAAAGTTTTAGATATTAGTTTAAAGGTAAAAAATTTTAAAAATGAAATATCTATCGTATAAATTACCGAGATACTAAGTAGGTATATCTGGCCGGTGGAGGTGCCGGAATCAGTGGCATTTTTGGTTAATTAAGACTTGCACAACTCAATTTTGAAAAAAATGAAAAAAAAATATTTTTTTGCAGCACAGGTCACGTGTAATTGACGATGTGAGACACTGGTAAGATACTATATAGTTAAAATTAATTGGTCGCCAGATAATCAACATACTCAACTAAGCTGATATTTAAGAATCGATTAAGTCGACTAAGTCGAATCTCTGTGTATTAAATAAATATCCCGAATTCTCCGGTACTCATGCTATGTTTCCTGAAATTTTCTGATAATTTCTATACTGTATATACTACTATAAAATAAACAGTATATAGATATATATATATATCTACCGTACTGTATATTAATGAAAATGAAGTTGAATAGTAAATGTTCATAAAATTGATATATATATATATATATATATATATATATATATATATTATAAATATATATAGTGATAAAAAAAAGTTGATATCCTGTATTGTCATACCGAAGGTTTTGGATTCTGCGTCCAGTCGTTCTATCGTAATGGTAATGAACGTCAACGGTTACCGCGTCCGGATAGGTTGGAAACCCCTAAACCGTTGACAATCCAACCTCCAGTCAGTATCGAACGCGGGATCAATCAGTGATACCAATGACAATCCCACGCTCTAACTGTTAAGCCAATTAGGATGATCACTAAAAATTTTTTTTATAAAATGTTTAAAACCAGTAATTGTGTTACATAAAAATATATATTTGGGTTGAAAATTGATCTTGTGATCATAGTATTCGTAGTTGACATAACTAATAAATACTTGTTGTTAGAGTTGGGGCATGGAAAATCTTCACATAAAATATAGCCAAGGATCTGAAAAAATTTTGATTTATTTAGATTAATATAAATCGAAATTTTTGAGTCAAATTATAGATAAATCAAAATTTTTGCAAATTTTTTTGTAGTGTAACATTACACAATATCGGCGGCCAGAATTATGGATAGTGCTAGCCAAAATTTAAGAACACCAGATTTAGAAGCCTGTATATTATAATAATCATCTATTATAAAAAACTTTTTTTTCATGATTATTACAATTAGAAGTCACTTTTTTTTTTCCTCTTTTTTTTTAAAAAAAAAAAAAAATTTTTTATTTAAAACTTGTATGTTGTTTTTTGTATAAGATTTGAACTTTTTTTTTTTAAAAAAAAAAGCTTTTTTTAAAAAAAAAATTTTTTTTTAATTTTTTTAAATTTTTTTTTTGAAGGCTTTTAATTGCACCCAAGCCAATAAAATACCTTTTAAACGAATTATCGTATATTCTCGTGTATAGGAATTTCTGAATGACATTGTTGCTAATGCTAGTGTCTTGATGTGTCAATTTTGTTGCTATTCTGTAAATTGGAAAATCAAGACAACTATTATATCTTATATAAATACAAACACATATAAGAATTTAAAAGTGAAGGCACTTTCTTTTTTAAGTAGAACTAGACAACCCACTTTAACCTCTGTTATCAAAGCCAATAACTCAAAAAAAACTGCAATTAATGATTTAATCTATGTATTTGTTTAAGCTAACATTTTTCTAGAAAAAGTAAACAAGTTTAAACCATAGTTAAAGGAATATTTATATAAAGATGATAGTATTTTTTCAGCCAATACATTGTATTATAAATACTGTACCTTCTTGGAGTTTTTAAAAACTATTTTAATTTTCAAGAAATATTTTTAAGTCATATACAAATTATATATATTTGTATTGTTCTTTTATATATTTTATAATAACTTTTTCTGGCAGATACTAGTTCATTATATAGTTACAATTAAACAAACATTTAGTAACAAAAGTGTTTTATTAATTGTTAATGAAATTACTAATAGTAGAGTATAAAGTGTTGTTAATATTTTGTTTAATTATTATGAATTAATTAAGTTAGTGGTTGTAGATTATTTAGATATAGTTAATAATTTGACTATCAGTTAATTAATTGTTCATACTTTAGTTAACTGGAATATTTCATTTAATAATACATGATTAATTATCAGATTCAGCATTGTACATGAAGAAGTGTGTTCATGAAGTGCTTAAGCCAATTATATCCCAAATAATATATCAAACTTGTTTGGCACATATTCTAAATTTGATTAAATTAGTATAGCAATAAGATTATTTAATAATAAAAAATAAAAATATATATAAATTTTATTGTATTTTAATAAAATTAAATTGATTTTTTAAAAAAAATTTAGTAATACTTGGGTATCTATTAAACCTTTCAATGTTATTCATAAATTGTTGGCAAAGATTAAAAAAACTTTAATTCATTTAAAAGGTCGATGCACAAGATATATTGTATTTTTGGGTCAAAATAGAGTTTCTCGTCTGAACAGTATTCTATTGTCTAATATAACACATTGGAACTCATAGTATAAAATAATGTTTTATATAGAGAAACACTTGCAATTAATTCAAGATTTTTATACTCAAGAATATAGAAAAAACACCTCTCCTGTAATTGAAAAAATAATGTCAATTCTTAATAATCAACAAGAATATGAGCATGTATAGATATATTTAATATTTATTAAAAATTATAAACAATAGTTTATACAAGATTTAGATTTTTTTCAAACTAAGAATTTATCAGTATTTCTGTTTATAGAAGGCCGAATTGAACAATTAAAAAGCATGATTACAATGGTAAAATCATTGGTGAATTTAGTTTAAACTATGCTTAAGGTATTTACTAAACTTAATACAGAACCTGATTTATTTTTTTCTATATTTCGCTTTGCATATGAAGCTGTCTATAATAAGTTTTGTGATTATATAAGTAATCATCCCTCGCATCCTTTATTTCAAGAAGCCTATATTTTTGATTTTCATTTTATTTTATTTTTTACTATTAATCATAACATTTCATCTTATTCTAATATATGAGAATTAGTAAATTCTTCAATTGATTTAATTCAAAAGTGGGCAGTTTACTGCAATTTTAATCTTTCTATAATCGAATTTTATATTTTAGATAAATTTTGAAATAAGGTTTCCTATCAGTTACCTTTATTAAGTGAAATTGCTTTAAATTATATTTGGCTTCCTATATCATCTTGTAGTATAAAGCAAAGTTTTTCTGCATACAACAAAATTTTGGATAATGATAGACAAAATCCCAGCAAAGAATCGCTCTGTACTCTTACAATAATGTATTATAATTGATAATTTTAAAAAGGGTGCTGGTATTTGTACCCCCCAAATTTGGTATTTGTACCCCCCAGCAAAAAATAAAAATTTTTAAAGATTCAAGTAAAGATATCTCGAT